TCAATCATCTTCGAAGAAAACAGAGATCAAAGTATGTGGCGAATACAATTCGTCGCATCATAGATTTCCTCAACATATGATGACCGCTCCTCGTGGAACTCGTCTCTAGAAGGGGGGGTAATGTCACGGCCATAATCATGTAAGCTAATAATTACATATAGAAATAGGTAGAAGTAAGTAAAAGTAGATAAAAGTAAGTTAATTCTATAATATTTAATATAGAAGCTTCCTAGAAACTTCCTAGATGCTGCTTTGACTTCATAGGTGTCTTTAATTGACTTTTTGGATTAGAAACGTGGTCAACAAGTTGGCCATGTGCCACACATGTTGTTAGCTTGAAGATCAAGCTAACTATGTGGCCCACACGTAGAAAAACTTGCCTTGTAAGTCAAGGCATGTGTCCTACAAAGTCAACACATATTGGAGGTCCTATAGAACGTCGCCACGTAGCCCCTAGTTAGATAGTATATATAGAGACAAGAGTGAAGGCTTCTTCACTCTTGTCAACTCTTTTCTTGCGTCTAGTCCAGGTTCAAGAGTCTTTAGTTTCTTGTCTTGTGGCAATAGCCATTCCAGTTTCCTTTTAATATACCTACTTGTTTATATTTTGACTTATTATATCGAGATAGCCTTTTGGTGTATATTTTCTCTCATCGAGTCTTTGTCCTTGACAACTAGAAGCAAGAAAGGAATTGACAAGAGTGAAGAAGCCTTCACTCTTGTCTCTATATATACTATCTAACTAGGGACTACGTGGCGATGTTCTATTGGACCTCCAATATGTGTTGACTTTGTAGGACACATGCCTTGACTTACAAGGCAAGTTTTTCTTCGTGTGGGCCACATAGTTAGCTTGATCTTCAAGCTAACAACATGTGTGGCACATGGCCAACTTGTTGACCACGTTTCTAATCCAAAAAGTCAATTAAAGACACCTATGAAGTCAAAGCAGCGTCTAGGAAGTTTCTAGGAAGCTTTTATATTAAATATTATAGAATTAACTTACTTTTATCTACTTTTACTTACTTCTACCTATTTCTATATGTAATTATTAGCTTACATGATTATGGCTGTGACATACTGTCATGGATTAACTTTGGGAGGAAAATTTGCACTTTTACTAAAGTCAATAGTATTGATCAAATGGAACACTAGTTTTTTTCACACCTTGGTTGGGTGAAGCTCGCTTTCTCCTATCTTTACATCCTAGTCATGGATTGCATGTATAGAACAAAATAATATTGATATGACCATTTTCAACATCTCTTTTATTATTGCAATTGCCTTCATACAAGAAGAAACCAAAATGTACTACTAATAGGTGCTTGAATTATTCACAAGTATTTACAAGGACATCAAATTAATAACTATTGTAACTGAGTACAAACTAACTTTCATAAATGCACTACCAATAATCTTTTTGACTACCACATTGCTTCTCTATGTATGACATATTTAAAGAATGTGCTTCCAAGCTATAAGAAATACTTTGAAACAAAATAAAGATTGGAGAACCTTTTAGCAATTGTAGAAAAATATTATTAAGTTGCCAACAATTGAAATCTTTATTACACAATAAAATATATTTTTTCAATTGTACATGAGAATCTTGGGTGCACTTTAGTAGCTTAAGACAATATAGTTAACAAATAAAGAGTGCTATGTGATGGCCTAGATAAATCGTGCATTACATTTCGGAAATGTCAATAGCTCTTGAGCAAAAGGCATGCATTCCATGGTAAAAAAAACTACCTACAAATCTCCACCGTAGACCTCAGATGTTCAAATTTGACTTTTTTAAGCCTTTGAAAATCATATTAAAGAAATTGAAGCACAAGCAAAGATAAAGTGGATTTGAGTTGGTTACCAAGGCAACCACAATCTATTCATAGGTATTGCAAGACATATCTCATTTTGTGCATTCAATTTAGTCTTAAAACGTGTCGAATATGCTCAAAAAGAAGACCTCACGAAGTGCTCTTATGCTTTTATGGCTATGATTGGCTTGCCTTCTTACTACCAGATATGGAGAAAATTAGAAGCAAAGGTGCACATGTCGGTTTATGATTTCCATCCTCTTTGGTACCTTCTCAATGTGCAATAGCTTAGACTGGAAGCTAGATCTACATATGAAGGTGTTTTAAACAGTACAAAAGTAGTGCCAAATATGGATAGCCTTAGACCCATCTTTGATGAGATTAAAGGCACCTATGAGATCTTAGTACCCCATGAGTAAGAACATGTGCACAATCAACTATTGGATCTAGCATTGTAGACAATGGCATTAAAGAATCTACCAATGCAGCATACTCGTGGATGTCCAAAAGGCTCAACTAAGCAAGCACCATATCCAAACAATTCTGCAGTTTAAAGAAATCCATCTCAATTTGAATTAGTCTAACCTGATGCATCTTCTCAAGCTTTGGACATAACTCTTATATAAAAGTGTACAGTATGTAATCAGAGTGGCCATAATGCATGTACTTGTTTTAATTGTATTGTATTCTCACAAGATCAGAGCGTAACATTATAATGGTTTGAATGTTGTAGAGTTTGGAAATTCAAGGATTTAGGAGTTGACAATATTTGGAGGTTTGACAATGTTTGGAGGTGTATTTACTATTCTCTTTATAATATTAAAAATAATACAAGAAAATACATTGTATGTACAACTCCAACACACAAGTAAAATATCTTTTTGTTTCATATTGCTCCACCTTGTGAATAACTTTTCTTTCAAACTGTCAATATGTTTTGAACACTAAAAGAATTTTAAAAAGATAACTTCAAGAAATTGTTCCAAAAACCAATCCCATAGTTTTAAAAATGTTTTTAAAAAAAAAAACACTTGTAGGAAAAGTAATGGCAAACCCCACCTAACTACTTATAGACAACACAATCAATAAGAATGATTTGAAGAAAACTGCACACAATATCTCAGACAAGTCCAAACAGAATCACAGCAGAAACCCTAGATATCTAACGACTAGCAGCGAGGAAACGAGTGCATTACTTAGAGCTCCAAAACCTAATTGACTTGTTGAGTTAGGCTCTGCAACACGATTCTCATTGTTTGTGGGAAAGACAAATCCTAGTCATGTTTTTTTTTGCTTTCTAGGAGACCCCACCTCATGTAAAATAATTGTGGAAAGACTGGAAAGACTGGATTAATCACTGCAATGTGCCGTCCCCATATTCCCCTATTGATTCTAATTTGCAGAGTTTTTGCAAGTCATCATTTCTAGAACTACACACAGTATCCTGCGGACTGCATCGTAGGGTTTCCGGCGCTGCATAAAAGTCCCGAAGAATCCCGAAGAACTGGTCAGTCGTGTTGCCTGACTCACACTTCACATGATGCGGTTGTGTTCATCTCCGGCGTCTATTCCTTCTCTCTCACGCAACCTGAGCAAGTCAAATGATACGAGAACTATCCTAGCCTGCATTCCCTCGAGGTTGTGCAGCCACTTCCACACACTGCTTATAGTATAAAACGAATCTCACGTGTTTTGTTTTTCTCTTATCCTTTGACGAGGCTCCATTACAGTTGGCCTGAAGCCGACTTGGCCTCCGCTGAGAATATTCCGACGGCTGTCAAGCAAGCGTACCGAAGCCGAGGATGAAATTCGCAGTGGGGTTGATGAGTTGGAGAAACCATCAAGCAGCAAGCGTTCATGATACTCGAAAGGAGTACCATCCTCGCACCAACAACCTCTTGCAGTGAGAGATTTTCCATGCACGGCGCATGTACTGCGAAGGGTCTGGTCAATTGGCCGCATACATGGCCGGCGTGGTCACATGGATCATTTCCCTTCCCCCCCTACGTGTCGACAAGGGTTTCTGTTCTGCCTGGCAGAGGGCGATCAGATGGCTCCAGTCCATCAACCAGAAACAGACGGTGCGAGTACTTCAACCAAACCGTCCTTAACTTTTTTTGAATTCGGTGGGTTGTTGTTATCTGAAGAAATCTTCTCTGGACTGGTGGTTGCCCCTTCGTTTTTGCTACCGGCGTCTTCGGTGGGGGATTGCTGGTGCTCTGGCGATTGTAAGTAGCAATCGTTGAATTGTACTGTTCAAAAGAGTTGCGTGATGGTGCTAACGACAAAGCCTCAGTCGAATTTTGTATCACAAGCTGCAGTAGAACTGGAGATGCCCATGCGATCTCTTAACAAGTGGCATTGTCGATGTTCTCAGTCGTGTCTCGTCATCACCTTGATTTAAGATTTTTATCTTTATTATTAAGCCATTCTTGTCAGAAATTGTCTTCCATTGATTAACGTAGAACCATGTGTTTTTCCTGCTCTTTTCGTAGGAAATCGTATCTTATGTATTATCAATTTCGTCAACTAAGCGGATATACTAGGTCCCCTAACCTGTGGGAGAATTTAGATAGATCTGCAAATACAGTGTTTCTTGTCTGCATCTAACCATGTACTGTAGAGACTTGAGTTCATTAAAGAAATTCGAGGAACACTCCACATACTGTTGCTTTACACATACTCTTGTGGATTCTCTTAGGATTTGAAAACATGTGGAGCCTGCATTTTAAAAAATGAAAAAAGTAACGAAAAATCCAAATCCACACCCTTGAAATCTGTCAGTTGCATCCCTTGATGTTATACCGACCCCATCGAAGCTCCCTGAAAGAAACAAAGTATGTAAACCACTGTAAGGAAAATAAGAAAAAGAGAAAAAAAACACAAAATTATAGCAGACACCTCTCAATTGTCCGCAAAGTCTTGGAATCTCTGAAACATATACCAGTGCATAGGCTTGTATTTTTGGGTTTTTGCACCACTACCAAAGCCTGAGCCCCATAGGAATTTTGGAGGTTTGTGATCATGCGACAGAGACTCACACTCTTTTCTTCTCCCATACTGCAGTTGACTTTGCGGAATGCGACAAGCGCAAGGCTTTCGAACGGAGTTGACACAATCTCGGTTTAGTTTCTGCGCTGCAGTAAGTTACCGCTCTCTACTGAGGTCGGTTCGAAACTTGGATGACGTCGGGTTTGTTTATCCCTTTGGCAAATCTCCCACTGGAACTTTCGCTGGAGTTTATGAACATTCTTCGGTGACGCAAGCGCCCAGAATAGATGCAACTGTATATGAAGTCCAGCTTGGCTCAGTCCAACGTCATGCCAGCAATGGAGTCTCAAGTGCGAAGCAAATTTGACTCGGAAGTATGCAGAGACGGAATTGTTGATGGCGTGATCCTCGGAGGGTAAGGAGTTCGATGCGCGGAAACCAGAACCAGTCCTCGCGTGTGGCCGTGAAAAGCAAGGATGGCGAACCTACACGGGAGCTTGAATGAACGAAGTTGAAACTTCATCGTCTTCCTTTCCTCTAAAAAAAAGTCCTTGGGAGCTCCTGGGACGGAAAAAGGCTCGTCGACACATGGGCACGGAAAACTGCGAACGATTTGAGAAAGCTCTCGTGGCCGTTGTGGCCCCTGTCTCCTCTCGGAGCGTGTGGGAACTCTCCCTCCATTTCGGTGCACGGTACCAAAATGCAGTTGTAGAGACGATCGGCAGATCCTTTGGTGCCGTACGGTAGTAGTTACGGTACTCCCAGGGTTTCGAAGGTTGAACGTGGTGTGGTGTGGTGTGCCGGGGCTACTGATGGTTAGGACATGTGCGGTGTTAATGGTGCGTGGTTTCGTGTGAATTTAGTTGGCCCACTTGGAGCATAGGAGGACTGCTTGAGAGCGATACTTTTTTTTTTCTTTTTTTTTCTTTTTTTTTCCATCATTGTAGTTAGACCCGAGCTCACACACTTCGTTCTTTTTCGTGTCCTGGTTGCGTGGCGTAGTTGGGACGGTTTTACGCTGCTTCGGGCTTTGAGGTTGAGATGGAAGGACTCAGAATGGAACCGTTCCTTTGGTTTTGAGCGTGGATGTGCGGTTTTGTCTCGAAAATGTGGCACTTGAAGTGTGTCTGGTTCGGTGAAGACGACCAAGGGGAATGAGTGAGTGCTGAATTTGCACGAGGTTCGTAAGAAAGTGAGTGGAAGGTGAGATTAAGGCGTGAAGGCCGGTTCTTAGGCTTGGTGTGCTCTTAAATGAGCATTATTGAAGGTGCTCAGTATCTGAGGGACAGCTGGTGGATGGAATTGGCGTTACGTAGGTTCATTTCCTGCTTCGTGTTGCGTTAGTATGTGCTGAATTTGCAGCTGAAGTTAGTGCTGGATTTCGCTGACTGTCGGGTCGTTTAGACAATGATTAATAAATGCTTAGGGAAGAAGTGGTAGACTTGGGCGTTTTTTTGAGCTGGTTAGCTGCCGTTTCAACTTGCTTGCTGTGAGCACTCAAGGACTCCAGGTGTTTCTTGAAAGCAAGCTAAGTATATCGAAAACTCGTAATGCTGGAATGCTCGTCGCGCAGCTCCTGGTGCTTTTGCAAGCAATAATTCTTCACTGCTCTCCAAAGGGGTCTTTTGTGACCTTCTGTCAGGGAATGGTAAGGGTGCATGTTCGCAGCTTCAAGCGACTCCGTACATACACTGCATAGAACTCATCTTGATTGCGGCAGTTTTCTGTGAGGCCCTCCAGGACTGTATTGGTTCAAGTCATTCCGTTCTTGCGAAGCTGGTAATGCCTACATGATTGGTTTACTCCGCTTGCCCACGAGGAGTAAAGAGAGAACGAGAGGGATTTATTGAACAGGTACATCGAGGTCCGTCAGAAGGTGACTTAGGCGGGTGCTTATCTCAAATATATTTGGTTTGATGACTCTAAGTTGTGGTACTGAGAGAAAAATTGACTGCAAGTCGTGGTTGGTGCTCCAGCAATGCAAATAGACTTGAAAATGAATAACTTCTGATTAGCGGTGTATCCGTCGTACCGAGAAGCCGAACTCCGACAGCAGTACTATAGACCGCCACAGGCTCTTTTTTCTTTGTAAAAGCCAATTATTAAATCTTGTTCGAGTTGGCCAAATATAGGTTACTGACCTCAACAGTACTTCGCTCTTGCAAAGTCTAAGCAGGTGCTCAGTTGGAGTCACATACATGATCGCTTTAGCGAACAATGTTTGAGTCCGCCCTCTGTGTCATATATTGGATGTAGGTATACAGGGTGCAGCAATGTCTGCACTGGGAGAAGTTACGAAGGAAGAAGAGGCAGATGAGATTTATGAACTCAGTTCCAGCAGTACCAACAGTGATGATCTTAGAGAAGAGGAGGAACTGGTTAAAAGAGTCAGTCCGCAAGGAAGCCCTTGGAGTGAAGGATTTTCGCATAAGAAGCAGAAAGTAGAGCCTGTGAATGTTTTGCGATTGAATTCATGGAGATACGAAGACTTGAAGAATGAAGCGCTTGGGGATTTAGGCCTTGATCATGAAGCGAAGGTCGATTCGTTGGTTGCACTACCTTTCTTCCCTCAACCCTCTCCCGATGAGTCTGCGCGGAAGCAGACCGAGTCTCGAGCTGCCTGCAAGCAGTTTTGGAAAGCTGGGGACTATGACGGTCAGCCTGCTATTGTCATGCAACAAGCAGGTGAGAACTCTTTATCCTGCAGTCTTGTGCTGGGATTTGTTCTGATGTTGGCGTGATCACGTGAGAAAATGGAATTCGCTTCTTGTACGAATCTAGAATTATTTCTCATACTTTATTTCTGCTACTCAAACTCCCTTGCCCTATCAACAACCCCTTGGAGGCCGTCAATAGAGTGTTTATTACGTATATCCTTTTGAGTCACTCCTTCATGTTCTCATTTCTACAATTCCTCCAAGTTCCAATCCTCTCGAGAAGCTACTTGATGCATAATCCCAACGTCAGCAATCAATGCCTAGAAAGAAAATTGTGTTGTTCATAGTCTCCACTTTCAGCACTACTTATGAAAATCTGTCGATTTTAGACGTGCACAAATTTAATAAGTGCTGCTTAGTGCAGACAATATCGTCATCCGTTGTTTAGCTCTAGATTATGAGGTCGGCATAGAGTGTAGAGAGAAGAAAAGAATTAACCACAAGTAGGAGCAGCCATGTTATTTTGTCTTTTCGGGATTGGTACCATAACTATCCACCTTGGTACTAGGCTGTATTATTAGTGTATTTCAGAATTGAATTTTTGGTAGATGGAGAATACTCGGTGTTAGTATGGTGCTACTATTGTGATACTCGGGTTGATACTTGGGGTGAAGGAGGTTGAGGTCTTAAAGCTGCTTGACGAATCCGGATTTTTATTTCTTTCTTTTTGTGCAAACTCCGCTAAAACTAGCCTCGAATTGCGAGAGGTAGCACTTGAGAGGCTAATTTACGAAGAAATAGCAACGCTGATTGGAAGTTTGAAGAAGCGACATTGTCTAACTAGTATCCCCCCCTCCTTTTTTAAACAAAAAAATCTTGAATCATTAATTTTCTTTTTTGTCCATGCAGGTGCAATTGATCACGTTCGGGTTCACCCAAAGTTCCTGCACTCCAATGCAACCAGTCACAGATGGGTGCTTGGGGGTAAATTCCACTCAATTCGTTTACTTTATGTTCTAAGAGGGATTCAATTTGCTAGAGTAGTAGTTTGTAAATATTCACTGGATTCATGTTAATTTATTCGCATCTTGTTTGTGAATATCCTAGTTGTGTGTATATTGACAGTTACATCTGCCGGTTTTGTTCTTGCTGGGAATTGCTATGTAGAACACAAATACGGTAGAAATGTTAGTACACGAAGCTTTTGTTAGCATGGCTACTGATGCCTATTATTCAAACTTAATGGTGAATGCTGAACCTGTTTCTCTTTGAATTTGTTTTTAATTTTGGAAAGAGATCCCAGCAGAAGCTTATCCTGATTGCCTTTTACTTCTTAATTTACATCTAAGAATAAGGTAGATGTTTTGCAGCTGTTGCTGAACTAGTGGACAACGCTGTGGATGAGGTACGATTTGTCTTCATAGGCAATATGATGGTTGGAGATCCTGGACAGTTGATGGCTGATAAACTTGACCATCTTGCCATTTGGAGTAGTGATTGATTCATTTGGCTTGGAATTGTTATGTTATGCGCTATGCAGCATGCTAAGTACTGCTGCACACTATTTGTCCCTGATCTCGCTTCCGATTCAGAGGTTTATTAGAATTTAAACTAACTCATCAGTAGTATCTCATTTCACACATCCTCCAGGTTATGAATGGCGCAACATTTGTGAATGTAGACGTGTCCTTACACCCGAGGAATCGCTCTCCTATGCTTGTCATTCAAGGTGAGCACTTTCTGCTGACGCTCAATCCTATGGACTGAAGCAATATATCTGTGTTCTTGACTACAATAGAATGGTCCTCCAACTTTCTTTAGCATATGCAAATACGCAAAGTTGTTCTTCCAAATCGTGTTCAATTTGTGATGCTTGCTGGAAAGTCACTGTCGTTTTTACAGCTGTATTATCGTCGAGTCTACTTCACTTAAACGTTTGGTTTTAGATGATGGCGGTGGAATGACTCCCGACCGAATGCGTCAATGCATGTCTCTTGGATACTCCTCAAAGAGCAAAAGTGATAACAGTATCGGCCAATGTACGTTCTTCTGCCTTACAATACCATTTCTTTTTCCCTCTATGCCCAAATTCTGATACCATTTTCTTGGTTTGTTGTCTGCACCGAACAATTTTAGACTCTTATATTGACATGCTTTTTCCCTTGCCGGGAAGGCGTTTGTTTACAGTTTTGAATACTTTTTGCGGTGTTTTTAGTCGACTTGCTATTGCTATTGCTATCGCTATTCTTTCTGGATCAGCTTCTGCTTTCAGATCACTGAGGTAGATATGATAAAATCTTACTTGCTCAACTTCGCAGATGGAAATGGTTTCAAGACGAGTACTATGCGTCTTGCCGCTGATGTGATTGTCTTTTCTCGATCTCGTGCTTCCAATGGACACAGGTAGGTTAATCCCTGGACTACTTAGATCTTTTACGAATTGATAGTTTTAGATAATGTTTTAACCTGTTTTTTCTCTTTTAGCCTTCATTGTGCTTTTCATGCTTGCTTTGAATTGTCTTTTCACACCAAATTTTTTTATCATGGTAGTGCATAATATAAAGGACTCTGTCTTGTTCATGTCAAATCAATGCAATTGGAAAATTCTCTTAGTTTGGCAATCTGTGAGTTCTTGTTTTTTTTTGACGACGGGATTATTTTTATTCTTGTTGCCTCACAGAGCTACTCAGAGTATTGGTATGCTATCTTTTACTTTTTTAAGACAAAGTGGTCATGACGACATTATTGTTCCAATGGTGAGTGCTGTTGCTGCCATCAAAGATAATTTTCGTATCTTTGATTGTCTTTTCCGAAACATGGTTAGAATGTGACATTGCTTGAAGAAAGATGAGAATTCTTTAGCTTAATACTGGAGTTGCTCCATTGAAAGACATCCTGTTGTTTCATGTTTGTTTCAAGTTTTCATGTTATTTTTGGTTTCATGTTCTCGTGCAGAGTGCATGTGCATTGATTACCCCCCTCTTCCTTTTACAAGAATTTGGGAAATTTACAAGTTTTGATAGTTACATTCAGTCAAGACTGGAATGATTTTTTCATGTATAATACACTCTCAGAAGTGGTGCTTACCCTGTGCAGATCGATTATGAAGTCGGAGACGGCGAGGTGTGGAAAATAATGAGGACATCTTTGAAGGACTGGACCCACAATCTGGAAACAATTCAGACCTGGTCTCCTTACAACACTGAGGAAGAACTATTTGATCAGGTTTGTTTTGTACAAGCTTGGTACGTTACCTGCTGGCTTCGAGCCTTGTAGTTAGGTGTACGGATTCCTGAAGGAAACGTAAGGTTTACATTGAGTTCAATTTTAAGCAGTATCGCATGTACTTCAAGTTTCCATCTCTTGGAATTTTAAGACCTTACCATTATGGTCACATCAGTATTATCATGTTCGGTGTTTCATCATACAAGGGACCCTTAAGGTTGAGAGACTTGAGGTTTACACCCGTCATACAAATCCTGGTCCTACTGCAGTTTACAGGAATGATGGACCATGGTACAAGGATTGTTTTGTACAATTTGTGGGAGGACGATCAAGGTCAACTCGAGCTAGATTTCGATACAGATCCCAATGTGAGCAATTCAATCAATTTGAACCTGAACGTGTTGAAAACTCCAAACACTCCATATACTACAGGAGGTTGAGTGCTTTTAGTGGAATATTATTGTGGCCACAATAGTTCTATCAACGGTGGTTGTGAACATTTTTATAGTTTCTAAAATGGTCAAAATTGCTGCTGAAAATTTGGAAGACTAATTTCTGTTGTGGCCTCTTTTGAATAACTCTGGCCTATACTATATGGAATTGTTGGTGCAGTATTCTTCTTATTCAACAATACTAAAAGTCCCAATTTCAGCATAGTTGTAAGAATGGCATAATTGAGCGCTTTGGGAATTTTAGGATATTCAAATCAGAGGAGCTAATCGTGACGAGAAGAAAATTCAAATGGCTCAGCGATTTCCAAACTCCAGCCATTTCCTCACTTATCGTTACTCCTTGCGGGTATCTCAAATCTCTTCTTTACCGTACAGCAACTCTTTACATCCAGTGTCCCGCTATCACATAAACCTGCCACTAAATTTTACGTTGGTCATATTCTGAAAAATGTTATTAAGTAGCTCTTCCCATTTCTCGTCTTGCATTTTTTTAAAGTTGAGGCTCACGAATCAGTTTCGCTGGCTGATATGATGGTGTGACAGAGTTATGTCTCCATTTTGTACTTGAAGTTGCCTCCCAAATTTAGAATCATTCTACGGGGACAAGAAGTTCAACACCACAGCCTTGTAGACGACTTGATGTTTACTCAAGAACTCACATACAGGCCACAAAGTGGGGCTGAACATGTTACGAAAGAAACCGATGTAAGGGGTTGCCTACGTCTACTATTCGCATACCAGAGCCATTCCCTTTTACTTTGAATATTTTTTGGCGTGTAGCTATTGATTTTGTCTTAATTTTCAATGTTGAAAAGTGAAACTCAGTATTCTTTGTGTAGTGAAATAATATGTGTGTGATTTGGGCTTATGCAGATGTTGGCAGTTGTGACCATTGGGTTTGTAAAGGATGCCAAGGATCATGTAAACATACAAGGTTTCAACGTTTACCACAAAAACCGGCTAATTAAGGTAATGGTTGGACTATCATCCAATTCTACTCTTATGTTATGGTTTCGAAATGTTGAGTAAATGTTCTCTGATTTTTGGCTTACGTGTCACCTCAATCAGAATTGGTTTGAGATGACATAGGATTTTGGCTTGAATTCGTTCTTTCATGCCTAAATGTCTTACATTAGATAGATAAATGGATGTAAATGTGATCCTCGTTCTTTTTGTAGCCATTTTGGAAGATTTGGAATTGCACTGGTAGCGATGGGCGGGGCATTATAGGTAAGTGAATGTCTTGCTTGCAGGCCTTTCTATTATGCTTTTTGTTGTTTTACTGGGAAGCTACAGCAGAACATGGGTCAGAGTTGATTAGGATTTAGTGAAATATGGAGAATTAAAGATAGGAGGTGAGAGTTCAAAAGTACAAATCATTGTATTTGAAAGATCGATCAAAGCCAATGCGAGAATATTTTCTTGGAAATTTCGCAGAATGTTGACACCTATATTTTCTTGTATGACGTTACTGATAAAGTTCATGGTTAGCACTGCCTACGAGCTTGAACATATTTTATTCTGTAACTAGAGACTATCATTTCTCTACAGGAGTGCTAGAGGCCAACTTTGTGGAACCTGCTCATGATAAACAAGGCTTTGAGCGCACTACAGTGCTGTCGCGACTAGAGTCACGCTTGTTGCAGATGCAGAAGAACTATTGGTCCTTCTCCTCAACCTTGAGTTCAGCACATTTTAAGTGTAGTTAACCTCTGGTTCTTTTCCAACAAATCTTTGCTACGTGTGTAAGCCCTAACATTTCATCACGTGTACCTCTACAGGGCAAATAATTGTCATAAAGTAGGCTATGTAAGCAAAAGGAGTAAGAAGAGTATTCCACCTGCCCCTCTGTCTGGAGGTATATCTAACTATTTATGTTTTCTGTGGCAAATACTTATTTCTGTGGCAAATAAATATATTACACTACCCATCGTTACAAACACAGATTTTGCACTGTGGTAGTCCTCTTTCTGAGCTCTAGGATGCTTACATGAAATCTTGTGTGTGTGTGTGTGTAGAGAGCTGTCTTTGTTGGTCTCTTTGTAGTTGTCTGATTTTCTTTACTGTTGGAGTCTGTATGTTGCATATTCGTGGTTGAAATACTGTGATCAGTGATTTCAATTCTACAAGTCTGCTTTTACACTTCGTTTAACGGTGATGTAGAGCCTTAATTTGTTTCCTTATAGTTGTCTAACTATCTAGGTATAAGCTAGACCTGGATTTTATTGCATTTACTCTTGAAAATATGCTTCGTATGATGTGATCTCTGGTTTTCTTGTGTCTTTTTGTGCATGTGTTTTTATATGATATCTTATTTTCCTGGTGTCTGTTTCCATGCGATTAATTTATGCAATGCTTTTGATTTGCAGATATTATCATGAATAGGGGACAGGGGTCAACAATGTCATCTCCAATTTCAGACCCTTATGCAGAACTTCGTCTCTCTTTGCCTACCAACACATTAAGTGAATGCCGGAGAGGAGGAGGAATTTTGCGGACTTATGGAGAGGGAACATCAGGAAGGCTACGGCTTGAAATTGAACCTGCCGCCGCAGTATCTAGAAGTGGATCGCTTACCAATGGCATTTTTGTTGCGAAGGTGCTTCCAAAACTTATATTGTTTCGGCTTTGCCTTCAAACTGCAGGAAATGATATTTTTAGTTGTAGGGAACAGATGATCCTTGCTCTGTGAGTGATTATTGCACACTATGTCTATTGGTGATTGGTCTTCTCTGTTTTCTGCTAACCTGTTCCTCCCATACTCCTGCAGGTTAACGACTCTGTTCCGAAGGATAGCCGGAAATCATTGGAAGATCTTGGAAGAATGGTGTTGTCCTTGCTCTAGACATTTGCTTAGAACTGCATCAGCATTGTCATGGTTACGTCAAATTAGGTTTCTAATGTGGCTGTATGAATCATGGTTGTACAAAATTGTATGTATCAGGTGTTGTTGGAGTCGTGAAATTATTTACTCTTTTGGAGGTCTAATGAATTGAGTTACAGTGCATGGCATTAAATAGTGTTGTCTAGCTGTATTGGTCTTATAAAACATATCATGGTCGGTTGTTCAGTTTGTAAGGAGGGCTGCTGCTGCAGAGGTTTCCCATCCTCCACAGGAACAGCAGCGTCCAGCAAACTCGAATAGTCATAGAGCATCAATGGAACTTGAGATACTGAAGCAGCTCAAAGATGAAAATGATCAAATTCGAGGAAGGTCATTATCTTCCAGCAACCCAGCTTCTCTTCTAGATATAGATTGTGGTTGCAGTCTTATTTTCCAACATAGTTCTCCGATTTGTACGATTTCTGTAAGCATCGTAATCACGAATTTATCCTTCTATAAGTCAAATTTGCCTTTCTCGAATGGACAAATATATTATTCTGTTGTTTGAATTGCAACGAATTTTTCTATTTGAGATTTAGAAACAGACTCTCCCTTCTGCTGCCTACAGATGTCAAAGGTTGGAGGAGGCAAGTGAGCAGAGTCTCATGTTTGAAGTTGATCGAAATCGTAAATTAGAGGCTCAGGTAAATTGTCTTGTTCTGTCTGAAGTTGATCTTTTACTTTTGATATCTAGGCTCTTAGCAATTAAGAATGAAACTTGACGATCCTTTTCCTGATGATACATGCATGTGGAACACCTAATGTTTATCCTTGGCTCGCACAGCTTCTGGATCTAGAGCAACAGCAAGCGGTTTATAGGCGCAATTTAGAGAAATGTGTTCGAGAACGGGATAGTCTGCATATTGCATTGGAGGAGGAGCGACAGATTCGAGAACATGATGATGAAAAAATGAGAAAGAAACTTAAGGTTGGTTAATACATTGACATTCATTGCATTTGACTGCAGCAGATGCAGCTTGTGCGGATTCCCTCGCTGGTAGTGTCATTATAGTTGAACCTGTTGCACGGAAATAAAACTCTTATCTTGTCGTTTCAAGTTATTAACCTGGATGTTTTTGTTTTATTTCATCTTCCTGGATAACAGGTAGCACTCCTACGTGTGCGAGAGCTGGAATCTGAAAACCACCGCTTGCGTTTCTCAAGGTGCTGAATTCGTAGTTGTAAGTTGGTGGTTCGTCCATAAAAGCATAAAAGAATTTTGTGCATTCTTTTATGTTCAGACGCATTGCTCTTTGTACAGTTATTTCATGACCTTGGTTCCTCTTCATCGCCACGGGTGCGCTTGTGGTGAGCAGCGGTGCACTTAACAAACTGGTCGTGGTGTTATTGCTGCAGCCGGGTAGGGTTTAGCTTGATCTTGCCTCCACCTCTTACCACCATTGCAAAAATGGATGTCTGATCGGGGTGAGCAGAAGTTTTGTTTTGTTTAAACCCAGTTTAAACATTCTTACATGAGGTTTGCAACTCTGAATCACTAAATCTTTGATCAGGGAAGCTGTGCTATTTTACTCCTTTTCTCAATCTCAGGCTGTAGATTTCATGGTCATATTTTTACATGTGCATTTCTTTGGGAAGAGTTAGTTTCTTGCACAATTCAAAGTCCAGCGTATATAGCAATTTTTCCAGAAGCTTGTGGAGTGGAAACTTACTTGTATCCAGTTTTTTGTCACTGGTTCTTTTGATGAGTAAGTTCTACAAATCTACAGTCGACTGAAACACAGAATCAGGTTATCAAACCAGGTTATTAATTTTTTTAATTCACTTGTGATACCACTTATTGTCAAATCACTAACCTCTACAGGAACAGGTATGTGTTATTTTGTATGTTGAATCAATCATTCAATTTGAAAAGAATAATTGACCATTTTGTGTAGTGTGTTCTTGAAAGTCTTGCTCAAACCAGAATTAATTGTAACTATGTAACAACTAAGCAAAAACAATTGCAAAGGTCTTAAAATGGAATTCTTTTTTATATTGTTATCATGATGTAGTAATGTACTTTGAGTTCAAATTTTTGTAGAAATAATTTATTAAGCTTCAAATTATCTATGTATTTTATTAGATAATTATTCTTATTACCTTGTTCATTTTCTAATAAACATATTATATCATAAAAACAATAATTACTGCAAGAAAACATTGTGATCAACAACCATTAGGAAATTTAATGTAATACTTTCATGTAGGTTGTGGCATTTTGGATGTAACTTATAGATTGATATGAAGGCCTAAAGATTTCGTTGGTGCATCTTATATATTATGTTGTATGCTTTAGTATACTTTAACTTCTGATTAAATAATAACTTATTCTTAAGAATATAATTGTGATTTTTTTATAATATAAATATTTTTTTTTTAGTTCTTTGAATAATCACTAAATATTCTTTTTTTAGTTCTTTGAAAATAGATGTTTTTTGTACAAATGAACGATAAACCAGTGGTTTGTGCTTTTGTAGAAAATATCACCTATGCTTTTAAGGCAACATAATGAATAACATGAATTCGTAGTCTTTACAAAGATGATGGTTGTATTATGCACAATATGATTGACCTCAATTATTGCAATCTAATTTGTGATACAAATATATAAAATTGATAAGCTATAATAAATTCAAATTCTAAACTTTGATAATTTCAATGTATTGGTCAATGATTTTACATTGTTTTGATACAACATGTCTTTTTTGAACGGATTTATTTAATCTAAAAGCCTTTGATTTTGAGAGTCAATTTATGAGTGTTTAATCTTGTCCACTACTAATTTGGACAAATTACATGAAGAATACTTACAATTATCTTTTAAATATTCTTCAATTCAATCTAATGTGGTGGTTGAATCATGTCTTTTACTATCTCAAATCCATGTGTTTTTTTGCCTCTTAAGTAGAAAACAATCTTTAAAGCATTAAATTACATTGACCAAATTGAAGGAGATAAAATGCAAATGCTTCTTTTGAGTCCAAAGTGGAAACTCTTGATAGAACTATTTGTTTGATATTGAATCATCTAGCATTTGAAATGAAATTAAATATAATGTCTAAATTTAAATGATAAAAAATGCCAATAAACAATCCCAATTTTAGTTTCATTTCTTTCAACACATGCAATTCTACTCATGAGGTGATAAGGTCAGTACAATTCAAAATTGTAATAATTTGTAATATGATACTCTATTCTAGTGGTTAGAATTGTAGTTTTTAAATGCTTTAGATTTTTGCTAATTTGTTGCATTGAGAAGCTTATAACCACATTTGGTTTACATTTCTTTCTTGTGCAAGTCTCTTCAAAAGTATTTTCTTATGGTTAATACTTATATTTATAAGGATAACTTGACTAGATGTCTAGAATCTTGGTGGTATTTATTTTATTTTATGTTTGTCACATAATACAAACTTATGCATGGAATTAGTCTTCAACTTTGTTTTTGTTTTTGATTTTTGGCACATACATGAAGATTTTTTATAGCAATAATGTACCGAAAGAATAAGAAGTTATAATTCATTTTATATCCTAAATTTTATGTTACAAATTCATATAATTTAATAATTTTGAATTAAATAGCTTAAATATTTATATAAATAGATGGCATAAAGTAAAAACATATTAATAATTAAAAATATATAATTAAGTTTTTTGGAAGATTTTAGTTATTCATCTAATTATACTTTTAACTTTATTTGATATTATATTTCTTTTTATTCAAAGATAGTTTCATCAATATATAAAATTAATCCAAAATCTTGTATTTTTTTATCTTTTAATTTATTTATATTTTGTAAAAACCATATCTTTATATCAAACGTGTTCCATATGAATTGTTAAGTGTGTTTGTTCATTTAAAGGTTACTTTAAAAAAACCATGGTATTTTTTTAGATCTATATTATTTATATATATGTTCTTTTTAGAAATAAGTATATAGATTTGGATTTTTTAATATTTAACAAGAAATTTTAAGTAGACAGCATTTGTTTCTAAGATAATACTTTCCAAGACTTTCTATGCTAAAAATTTATATTAGATAATATTGATAATATTTTAAATAAGATTAATAACATCTTTATTATGTCTTTTTACTTATTTTTAAAATTATAATCTCCTTTTAATAATATTTCTTGTTTTACATAGTTTTATCTTATATAGAAATAGCCAACAAATTTTGATCATTAAGTCAATTGTTCTATGAAGTGTTTTTCTCTTCAATAAAATGTATCATTTCTACATATTCAACAAAGAATTTTATTTCAACAATCACAATACGATTTATGTTTTTTTAATTTTTACTAATACACCTAAGATTATTATATATTAAAAAGCTTAAACTTATAAATGGATTTTTTTTTTTTTTTTTTTTTCTTTTAAACAATTTACTTCAATACATTCTAATAAAGTATATGTAATAGGCTTTCTATTGTGTGCAAAAGACGATTTCCATTTTCTATTCTTTGTATATGTTTAGTCTCTTGATTTTGTCCACTATGATATTATTCATCTTCTTGTCTCATGGATCTTTGCTATGTTAAAACATTCATGTTTTGTCTTGGTTTGTCTTGTAGTTTATTAAAATTAATTTTTAAAACAGAATGATATTACTGATTTCAATTTAAGATGATTTTTATGTTATTTTCGTTCACTTCTTGACAAGAGTAGCATTATTTTTTTTTATTTCTTTCGATATTTATCTTTTTCATAATGTATTCAGGAGTTTTTTTTGTAAATCATGTTTTTATTACATAAAAATCAAAAATGAAAACAATTAACATGTATTTAAAAAAAAACTACAAATGCCATGTTTTAGAATCTAACGTTACCAGGACTAACATTTATGATAACTATTCTAAGATGGTATTTATTAGTAATTAGATTACAACCAACTAATTGATAAAATATGATCTATACACAATTATTTGAACTTTATTAAAATTGTTATCATTCATATTCAGAATGTTGTTTAAGGTATCTGAAGGAATGGAACTCATTAAAAATTATCTATTTTATTTTCTTATAAGTATTTGGTGTAATATATAATTAAAATAATAAATAAAGTATAATTAAATAATAATAATAATATATTCTGAATCAAATTTTGATTTGGTTTTAAAACATGTAAATTTTCTGAAAACGTGTATATTATTTACATACCAATTAATCCACAAATTCACCAATTTTAGACCATAAAAAACAATACTATTTTTTTTTTTAAATATCAAAATAAGTGAAATATATCTAAAAGCTAATATTTAAACATTGTATAGATTTGTATTGATTCTATGATATGTCAACAAAGATTTTTCCGAATTTTCTTTTGTAAAAGAACCAAACACACTAAAATTCGAAAAATAATAGTGTCCCTCAAACACGTTGATAAGTACCCCTTTGGTTTAACTTAAGTTTAAATGATTAGGGTTTTACGAAGGGTATGTGAGCAAGTATTAAGAACGGAAGACCAGAACAAAGGGAACTCGTTGGGAACAGAGAGCTTCAATTCGCCGATGGACGGCCACGATTAGGCGAGACCTGGAAACCCTAATTTGGCGATGGAGGCTCGCGGGAGGTGGGCAAGAGGTCGCGAGGTCGTAGAGCCGATTCCCTTTCCCAGTAGCCCTGTGGTGGTGCAGGGGTTTGTCGATCAGGTCAGTGGCGTGAGAGTTTGGAGATCGTAGCAATAATCGTGATGGCAACAACTGCAGCTGCTCGTCCTTTGGTGACTGTGCAGAGCGTCGACGGTAGCGAGAAGGGCGCTCAGGCGACATTGCCTGCCGTGTTTCTGGCACCAATTCGCCCGGACGTGGTGGGAGCTGTCCACTCTGCCTTGGCGAAGAACAAGAGGCAGCCCTACGCTGTGAGCGTGAAGGCTGGACACCAGACATCTGCGGAGTCATGGGGTACCGGGCGTGCCGTGTCGCGTATTCCCAGGGTTCCAGGTGGTGGAACTCACCGTGCGGGACAAGGAGCGTTCGGAAACATGTGTCGTGGTGGACGCATGTTCGCGCCCACCAAGGTTTGGCGCCGGTGGCACAGGAAGATTAACCTAAATCAGAAGAGGTATGCCATCGCCTCCGCTCTTGCAGCCTCTGCTATCCCTTCGTTGGTGCTCGCCAGGGGTCACAAGATCGAGCAGGTGCCCGAGGTGCCCTTGGTGTTGGCCGACGGAGCTGAGGGTATTGAGAAGACGTCTGCCGCTGTGAAGTTGTTGAAGTCTGTTGGAGCTTATGCTGATGTAGAGAAGGTTAAGGCTAGCCACAGCATCAGGGCTGGCAAGGGTAAGATGAGGAACCGGAGGTATGTTTCACGCCGCGGGCCTCTTGTCGTCTACGGTACCGAGGGTGCCAAGCTGGTCAAGGCATTCAGGAATATTCCCGGTGTTGAGGTTGTTTCCGTTAATCATTTGAATCTTCTGCAGCTCGCTCCAGGTGCGAATGAGTTCCACTCGGAATTCCACATGCAATGTTCTGTGTGTTTCTGCGGGTTCAGTTCTTAGGGTTTAGTAGGGTTTCTACATAATGAGACGGATATATAGAGCAATTCTAGTGGCTGTATCTGTGATAGCTATGCTCTTTGGAATATGCTCATGTTCACTTGTAATCTCATAAATTCATGGTTTTATTTAAAGTTGTAGTTTTGTTGCGACCTTCTCCATCATGAATGAATGAATTGGATGCACTCAGCGGAGTTGTGAATTGTTTTTCCGCAGGTGGTCATCTGGGTCGGTTTATTGTGTGGACGAAATCCGCTTTCGAGAAGTTGGATGTCGTCTATGGTACTCAGGAAAAGAAGTCCCTGTTGAAGAAGAATTACATTCTTCCTTACAATATCATGAGTAATCCAGACTTGTCTAGAATCATCAATTCTGATGAGATTCAGAGCGTTGTCCGTCCTACGAAGGTGGGCGCTAAGAGACGTGCCCTGAAGAAGAATCCATTGAAGAATTTAGGTGCCCTCCTCAAGCTTAACCCATATGCGAAGACTGCCAGGAGAATGGAGATCTTAGCTCAGGAGAGGCAGGTCAAGGCTAAGGCCGAAAAGTTGCAGAGCAAGAGGACTCAGCTCAAGGTATTGTTTCCTTGGATCCACTTATTTAGCTCTATCGTTTGATAATTGATTGGTCGTGTATTGAATGACGATTTAGTTTTCATTCTGATTCTGATGATTTTGGTTTTTTACTTGCCTTCGGTGAATAATGTTTTGTTCAGCCTGAGGAGAAGGAGTTGATCAAGAAACAGGGTGCCTCCTGGTACAAGACTATGGTGTCAGACTCTGAGTACACAGAATTTGAGAACTTCACCAAGTGGTTGGGTGTCTCCCAGTGAGTTGGGTCCTCATGGTCCATTCTTCATGAAAATTTTGCTTTTTTTTCTGGTTTGAGGATAGAGTTACGGTCATGTGTGCTGTAGATTGACCTTGTAATCAGGCATCATTTCCGGATTTACAGAATTTGGGTGTGGCTGCCCCCTTTCATACACGGGATCCCAAATTTGAATCGTGTGATTGTTCATGTTCTGGCCCAGTACATTTAGTGATGTTAAAATTATCTATTAATTGTGGAATATCAGTCAAGAGCTTCAATACTTGTTTATCTTAACAACAATAAAAAGAAAAACGACTTTTCCTTTGTGGTGTGGATTAGTAGGTGAAAAGACCTAAGACGCTGTTCAGGAAGGCATTTATTGTGATTGTGTGCCTGGTTCGGTTAGTCATCATTTGTATTTTTCTCACGAGCCATTGTGTTTAGAATTTGGGTCTTCACTTAGATTGCTTTCACGATTGAGTACTTTGAATTGCTACATTTAGTTTTTGTCCAATTGATCAACAAGAATGTCGTTGCATCATAGCTTCTTCTGTCACTATAGTAGTATTGGTCCTGGTGTTGCGCAAGTATTGCTCAGCAAGAAGTCATCGACAAATATCACAATATGTTAGCTTTGGCCATTCGGTCAACTCTTGACTAAATATAGAAACAAATCCATCAAAACGCATGTACAAAACCTTAGTATTAAAATAGAGTAATTTTTACTATTATGAAATGACAAGCGGTTAAGTCCAAAACGCCTTTAAAACTATAAATTATATTAATAACAAAGTAGTCTAGTTAAAGACTGTGTTAACCATATACATATCAAATACTAATGCCTTCTAACCCGGAAAAACGATTAAAAATAAAATGACCTGTGAGGATAATTAAATTGAAGTAAGGGAGCCCATATAAGTTCTTTAGTATCTTTCTTACTTCAGTTCCGTAGTTCATTGAGAAGCCTTAAAGAAGGTAGAAGGTGTTCTATTAATTATCAAGGCTTTACTTAGTATATTAGCAGTGGCAAGTATTGATAGGATTTTTTTTTTTTTTTTTTTTTTTTTTTTTTACATTATTTTGCATTCCAAAAGAGTTACGCATCACAATGTTAAGTCGTGGTCACCCTGGAAGGGCTAATAATAGATCGACGACATCGTCAAATTTAATCAGATACATTATTTCTATCATGAGGATCTACATATTTATTCAAGAGCATGGAGAAATGAAAAAAATCACGAACAAAAAAATATTTAAATAAATAAAAATAAAAATCATGCTACTTATTAGATCAAATTATTAGATACTTAAAATGTATCCTTATTTTCTTACAATCACCGATTGATATACGTATAAACAGAAAATTTAATATTAGAATCCTGTTAACCTAAAAACCATTTTTTAATTAACTACTTCAGTTTATTCCACACCTTTTAAAAAGCTTTATAGTTCTAACAAAGAATGCGTCGATCGTTATCGTTAACTGCCTGAATTGTTCAGCTACCCCAAACCATCATTTTTAATGATTACGTGATGACATACAAAACATGGCTCACCCTAGTTTCAGAGGACTATGTTGCAGCACTCATGTCTGCCTCCTTACCAGCGCACCAATTCGGAAATATCACAGAAAATGCAGGAACGCCATATCCACCATCGAAGATTATAAACAATAGCATTCCTCAAGGAACCCACTTCATAGAGATTGCATAAGCATGGAACCACATAAGCACCCAAAGGTGCACACACCAGTTTGTCTGCCATCACTCTTAAAGGCTCAATAGATACCCTAATACTTCTGCTGCTTAATACAATCCTAAGTTTACCATAAAGGTTCACATTGCCGCTTGTAGAAACTTCTGCAGTCAAAACTCTCCTATTCCTTAGGAGAAAAGTCTTCCATCCCTAACCACCACTTCTGAGTAAAGGACCTGCAGTCAAAATCTCAAAAAAGAGAAAGAAAGAAGAAAAAACAGATATCTATGTATATTTTATTCCTAAATCATTAATGTCAAGGGTTAGAGGGTCTTCCACCTTTCTGCGCAGCTGGTGTAGTGGTATCATAGTACCCTCCCACGGTACTGACCGGGGTTCGATTCCCCGGCTGCGCAGATCTTGACTCTTTCAATCTCCCGAAGAGTGTCGTTGTTGAGGAGTATTGTAGCTCAGTTTTTGTTTTCGAATCTCGCATCCAGTATCCCTAGCGAAACGGGGGCTCATGTGGCACTGGGCCAGTTTCAATATACTAAATGTGGAAGGAGCAGGTCACGCTCTCCGACCTTACCCGATTATATCACCGCCCTCTCCAGTATAGCATTCCCAAGCAGCTCTATACTCCAGTTTCGAGCACTCCCCCAAAGGCTATGGCTCATCTGCCCACCCCAAACCTCCAATGTCCTGTGAAATTTCACGATGTGACATGCGCGATGAAAAAATAAAATAAAATGAAATAAAATGAAATAAAATGCTTGGTTGAATGCAACGTTGCATCCTTTTTAACAATGTTAACATGCTCAAAGGTTGAATGCAAATTAAGTCCTTGCTTTTACGATCTAGTGTACTTCAGTGGATGCTATTCATGAATGAGTGAGTTCTGATGGATGACTTGCTGCTGCATCTTCCTTCTCTACACAGTCATCAAAGTCATTTGTTTATTTTGAGATTATGTATGGTAAATATTGTCAACATGCAAACTTAGGCTTCTACCATACAATCTTGCTCAAACTTTGAGCGCTTGGTTAGGTTTATTTCAATAAGGTTGATCAAGTCTATGGACAACTTAAAATTATATATATTACAATTGATAGCAAGGAGGTTTGAATTCTAAAATAAAAATAAAGATGGTAAAAAGGATGCATGTCTTCACTGAAATCTAGATGCAGATGCGTTGCGTAGAAACCTGCAGGTTTGGACCGCAGAGAACTGAATCGTCAATTAGTGTAGATTTCTCGCCAGTTTGTTTTCTGATCGGAACAGACACAGTAACACGCATTTGGACTCACAGCAGATCGAGGTGGGTAGATCGCTTAGGTTAACCGTATTCGGCGGTTCCGGATGGACGAGCGCCTCCAGTTGTTGCGACACTGTTTTCAAAGAGGCCAAAAGCTCATTCGGGCAAGTCTCAAACCTCGGTGTGGATTGCAGAAATGCGGCTTCTTGTGACATTCTCTAGTGGAAAAGAGCATGCAACTGGTGCAGGTGGAATAGATGATGTGCAGGTATCCACGACAGGTTGCTAAGACCATGAAACCATTCCATAGTCTCCGGGTTGGACAAGTGTATGAACATTGTTGAGATCGACAATCAGATGAAACGCAGTTTCTGTGCGACGGAATCCTATTTGGCTTCCATTGCTGCAGTGCTGTAAATGGAGCAACGATCCCATGAACATTTTGTGCAGTATCCAATAGTCTGAGAGACTGATTTGTAAATAACAAGCAATTATTTATTCTTCGTAAACACTTGATTTAAGAAGAGGTAACTCAACGCTCACGGGCTACTTGATTCTGGACCCTGGATGAGCTATTACACTCATTCTTTGCTGAATTTACCCCAGAAAGCTTTGAAGCGCTTTTTGGTAAAAGACAAACATGAGGTTAAACGTGGGAGAGCATCCGAATTTGGTTGTGAATTACCCAGTCCTATTGCTCACTTACTCTCGGACGCTACGCCATTATATTTTTCCTTGATACTAATCCAGTTGGTATTATACCTACTGAAGTCGTTAATCTTCTTCATTTGCAATCAGAAAATGATCATTCTCTTGAGAAAGTGTTCCTTGTGTCGGGAAAAGAATCTGGCACCAAAGTGAACCAAAAAAATGCGGTTCGGATTCAATCGGAAAAGTAGGCAGCCAGTGTCGCAAGCCGAGGTTGAAGACATTAGGCTAGAATCCCATGATTCGGCCTACAACTCGCGCCAGCATGTTCAAGAAACGCGAGACCCAGATGTCAATCTACTAATAATCCATCCAACAAAACTGATGGGGTAGCAACGTTGTCCACATACACTGAGTCGCTCAGGGAGACATGCTACCAATGAAAGGTTCATGATGAGTATATCTGCAGCCAGGCTCATTTTCATGGAGTACTGACCTCGTCTAATTGCAAGGGGCAATGCAGAGGAAATCTAGCTGCGCGCCAAGCTTGTCATGAGCCATCACCTGTAAAACAAACCACGCGTCAGGAAAAAGCCGAATAAAGTCAAATCTGGAATGCAAAAAGCTTTCTGACATGAGCATCAGGAGCAGCGCTTTCGGAACTTCCACTTGTTGGGCATGGAGTCGGAAGAGAGAACTTGCTCAGAATTCAGTGTAATGAGCCAAAGACACAAGGCTGCTCCAGAATCAAGTATGCAGCACACTCTGAAGGATTATGTAAAGCTTACGCTCAGCATAAAGCTGCTTTGTGGGGGTGAAACTCCGGTGATGGCGGTCCAATTGAGGTGCCCATCACCTACAAACCCATCATCTCCCACGAGCTCTGCATCTCGTCTACACAACATCTATCTATCTAACTATCTATCTACACATGCATGTGTCAATCAACTCATCGACACAGTGTATATATATATATATAATTTTTTTCTTTATTTCTCCACATACTGGAATAAAAAATTAAATAAGCTTGGGATCGTCTCTGCAACAACGTCCACGTCAAGCTCTAATTTGCTCCCACCAAGTTACGAAAGAAAGTTTTGTTTGAAGGAGAAACTTATTAAACAAACTTCTTAGCTTTCTGTGTATTTTTATATTTAGAAATATCTAGAAAAAACTGTCGAGACCCAATATGATCTCTGTGCTCAATGTGTTGGTGGTCTTAACTCTTTTTGAAGAAAGTCGTAAAAAATTAGACAGATATCATGGAGCAACAAATGAAACCCAGTCGAGAACAACTGGTATGAATACGATGAAGTTTGTTGGTTTGTTGAGTGGAGCCACAATTGCCTTGTGGAAAGGCTAATCACATTCATAACACATTCTTTTTTCTTTGGAGATAAAGATAAAAAAAGAAAAAGATGAAAGAGATGTATTTAACCATTGGTGAACGGAGAGTTGTGGTGGCAGCAGCAAAAATTGTGGTGGTATTAGTAATATTATATATTTATAATACACTTATAATGTAATTATTTCAATTTCAAAATATCTAGAAATATTCAAAGGAGTTTATTTTTGAAAAAAAAAATCAGTTATAATAATATTTTTAATATTTTGAACACAAAATCTCTTAATTATTTCTGATACTTAAAAAGTAATATTCAAGAAATCTAAATTAAAAAAATATATTTTTATATGTTTTGCAAAACCTATATACAATTTATTAT